ATTTTAAAAGCTTCCTTGAGAGCTTTCTTAGCTTCCTCAGTTTCTCTAGCCCCTAACAAGGACACAGCCTTGTTGAGCTGTGCCCGCCAATGATTAGGCCATACTGCTAGAACCCTAGTGTACATCTCAGAAGCTCTCGGAAACCTACCCAAGTCCATATAAAGCCCACCAAGATTGTACAAAGCATCCACGTGACCAGGTTTCAAATCAATAGCTTTCTGAAAAACTTCAATTGCCCTCTCATCCTCACCCATAGCATGTAAAGCAGACGCCAAATCACAGTGTGCATCAGCATAGTCTGATTTCATAAAAATACCCTCCTCTAAAGCCTTGACTGCTGCCCTATACTCTCCAACCCCAAAAAGAGCACTACCCAAAAGTTTCAAAGCTCTAAAATGAGTTGGACAAAGAATTGCAGCTTCTCTATAATGCTCACAAGCACTTAAGACCATACCTTCTCCTTCAAGTGCAATCCCAAGATTGACATAAATCTGAGGAAGCAAGTAAGTCCATTGATTCCCACCTGCCTCAGCTGATTCCCGCGCCAACAAGAACTCCTCTTTGGCTTCCTTATACTTCCCAAGCACATACAAACAATTCCCAGTTCTAAAGTGTGGCCTAACATCCATAGGCTGCAACTCACAAGCCCTTTTGAAACTCACTAAAGCCTCCTTAAACAACCCATGCTCGTATAAAACCCTGCCAATAGCCATGTGCCCGTCAAATGCCTCTTCCCTCGACCTCGCCCCATCAGCTCTACTTCTCAACGCCGCCAATTCTTTGATAAAAACTGCATAATCATGCCCAGATTCTTCCCAGAACACCCTCTTCTCTGTAATCTCAGCAGACGGCCCCAACTCCCTCGACCATCCAGCATCAGAATAAGCGTCAAAATTATCTGCCTTTAGCTTCCCATCTTTAGCCTGCTTTGCTTTCAATCTCTTCACCAAAATCTCCAAATCATCCACAAGCTTCCATGTATCGTCAAAAACAATGCCGTGATTCGGTGACACCGCCCAGGCCGCCGTCCTCTGCCTTTTCTGCGACTCCATCGCCCTCTCATCTACAATCGACGACGAGGACGCCTCCGACGCAATTGAAAGACCCTTGTTGTCATCAAGCTCAAGCCCAAGAGCATCAAAGTCCCGGTCCACATCACCAGCCCCATCGTCGTATGTCCTCAACAACCCATCATAGGTCAAGCCCTTTTCCCCGTCGATAAACTCACCGTAGGTACGAAACACTTCATCGAGAATAGCGTTGATTTGCTCGTTGCTGAACTTGACTCTAGGGTTAACAGCAACCACCAATGCAGCCATTTCTTCTCTGTTGAGACCCCCATCTCGGCTAGCATCAAATTGCTGGAAGATTCTCTTCACCTTCTCCGATCTGCTCCCTCTCGTTGTCATATCTTTATGGGTTTCCCTCTCCTTACCTTTTTCTTCTAAGCTTGGGGTTCGGAAGGAGTCGAGTGAAAAAACATAAGGAGATTCAACGGCGTTATTATGTATAAATTGAGGAGTGACGCACCAAGAAAAAGAGAAAAAGAGATATGATTAATCACTGAACTTCATAAATGCATGATTTGATTCAATTCTAAGGCTTTTGGCGGATGTTTTTCAGTTTTTTGGGTTTCATTGGCTATGGTGAATCGGAGAACCGAAAAAGGGGAGAGCACAGGCGAGAGGACGATGCCAGGCTAGACCCTCTCCCTCTCTTTTATTGTTATTATTTATTTTTTTTTTGTGTGGAAAAACCTCTGGATAAGCCCTTAGACTTCTTTACTATCGGGAATTGAGTTCTTGTAGTTATTTTCTTGGAAAATATATCCACTCAAATTTGAGTTGTCACCTTTTGTTTTTTGGATTAGTGGTTAGGGTGTCTCCAGAATAGTTTATGCATATCTTGAAATTAATATTTTCCTAATTTAATCAAAGTAGATCATTCACATCGATACTATAGAATTTATAAGACAGTATTTTTTCATTGACATCTTTAAAGAATTGAATCTTGGTAAATAAAATGTAGAGTAAACTCCTTTATCAATTAAGTTACAATTCCTTAGGCATTTGAGTTGTGGCTTGCAACCCACAAGTTAATGCATCACTTATGTCATGCTATCATGGGAGTTTTTTTTAAGAGAAATGTCATGTGCACTTAGAATGGGTCTAAGTGCACAAACACTTCTCTTCTTATGAGTCCACCTCATCGTTTCTTTATATTTTTTAATTAAAATAAAAGTACACATTAGCCAAAATGAAGGCTGAGTGTAACTAGCATTTCTTTTTTCTTAAACATAACATGCTTTGTGTGTAGGAAGAATTCATTTTTCTTTTGATATCAATGTAGGAAGAATCAAACACTAGTAAAGGTTGGATAGGATATTTCTTGAATCTGAGCAACTTAATTATTAAATTAATGTCTCATTAACGATACAAGCTATTAGTCTTTGGTTGTGTTATTTGACTTAAAAACTTGATCATTTGCGTTTAAAAGAAAAAAATAATAATATAATTATCATGTGAAAGTAGAGTGCGACCTTTATGTTAAATTTAAGTGAATTTTTGTAAGTCAACAATTGAAATATAAAGAAAGTATGAGGCTTTTTAGAGGTATTTTTCATTAAGTTTAATGTTATTAAATATCTTTTTTTATAAAAGGAGTTATCGTCATCCTTCTACTTTAAAAAAAAAATTCATAGAGATCCCTCAACTGAGAAGGGGCAATCATCATCACTTCGTTAAAGGACTTTATAACTCTGTTCATTTTTCCGTTCAAATCCTCCAAAATTTAGTGCTAAAAAACATTATTAGTCTCTCAAATTTTAGTTCTTATACATTTTGATCTCCAAACTTCAATTTTCTTTCAATTTGGTCCTAATTTCAACTTTTCTTATTAGACTATAGTTCCTAAACTTTTTAAAGAGTTACATTTAAGTCTCAAGTTTCTAATTCTACGTAATTTGGTCATTTTTTACACAAAAAATGTAAAATATAATAAAATCTCATTCAACTCATTTAAATATCAATAAAATTAAAACTAAAATAGTAAATAAAAATACATAAAAGTCATCTAATTAGAGTGAATAATCAAGTTTTTGATATCTAATTTAGGATCTTCAAAAAATAAAGAAATAACATTTAGTTTTTGCATGCACATAACTCACATAAAAAATAAAATAAAAATAAAGAAATAATAATATGATCAAAATAGGGTGAAAAGGAGAGACTTGCTTCTTTTCCTATTATGCACTCATAACCAAAGAAAGGAACTTAAAGTTATCATCAATCCACAATGTTTACATGATTAGATTACATTTACCCTACATATAAATCATTTTATTTTTTATATATTTTAATTTGTTACTTTAGGCTTGATTTGGTTGATATTTAAATGAATTGCATGTGATTTTAATAGAAGGTATATGATTTTTATTATTTTTGCAAAAAAAGGCTTGGAATACATGAAATTAGAAAACGGATTTTTTAAAAACACATGTTGAAAGTGTATTAATTGCATATTTTTGTAATAATTTTTATAAAAAAATGTAAAAATAAATATTATTTTTAATATTGTTGCCATATGAAAGATTTTAATAAGATAATTGATAAATTTTAAATCAACTCTTACTTTTTATACAAATAATTGTAAAAAAAAATTGTAATTAATAGTCTTTAATTTGTTTTGCAGGGAAATTTAGGATTCAAATGCACAAGTTA